GAGCACAAACCTGCCGATCTGTCTCTCTGATTTGGTGTTGGATTATCATCCCTCCAAGTTAGACACAAACTCGGGGTAGTATTAACCTTAGTATGTACGTGTGAGGGGGTGGGGCTGTGGTCTAGCCATTATCTTTTGAGTAACATGCCTTGGTGTGAGTGGTGCACTGGTTTTCTGGGAAAAAGAGGGAGAATGAGAAACAAGGCCAGCTGGCTACTGCAAAAAAAATTTGAGATAAGCAAAAGAATTGGACCATGTGGCCTACACCTCGCTTTGCATTATTCCTTGGTGCCATGGCAAACACAAATCACTAGATCTCCATACCATCCTGTTCTGGGCACCCTGTGTCAAGGAAATGTGTGTTTTACAGATTTTTCACTCTTTTGCTTTTCACACAATTCCAACAAGAAGGTAGTTGGACTCAATGATCTTTATGGGTCCCTTCCAACTGGAGATAGTCTGAGATGCCATCTTCCCCTGGAGATTTGTGGTGTGGGAAGGAAAGGCAGAGTCACGAGGCTCGGCAGGGAATAAATGCACGTGGAGCAAAAAGCTTTACCAGACCCTGTGCAGGTCTGTAACAGGAGCAGGGGAAAAGGCAGCAGCTGGAGATGTGTGTTCCCAGCGACTGCTGGCGGGGGAACCCAGGGAGGACAGGCGAAATGATATTTCCCATCCTGGCGATTTCAACCCTTGCCGGTACCTTTCGCACTTGGCCGATGGCACCAGCTCAGCCCTAAATCATCTGCAAATGTGCTGCACCCTGGAGGAGAGGGCAGTGGCCGGGGAATGCCCCGCGGAAGCCATCGGCTGAGCGCAGGCTCCGCGGGCAGGAGTCAGGGCAGGGGCTGGAATGGTGCTGGTGGCTGGGCCTGCAGGAGCGGCAGAGCCCGCGCGGTTCTGCTGCCGCGAGCGTGTGGGGCTGTGGCATCAGTCTGGCGCTCCTGCGGATCCATCCCAGCCACACTGGGGGTCCGTGGGAAGTGCAAGAACCCCTCACCGGGCAGAGGCAAAGTGATCTCCACTGCCTTTAGCTCCTCTATATCTGACACAGAGTGGTACATTTCAAACATCCCCTCCCCCGGCAGCTGTGCTAGTGCAGCTATCTTTGGCAAACACCTTCAGATTCCTGCTTTCAAGGGCTACAACAAGAACAAAAGACAGTTTCTACTTTTATTATCACAGTTTAATACAGTCTTTGATAGGGAGAAGCAGCAGGAGCCAACATGCAAAGCAACTAAAATCACTGGGGACTCGAGAAAGATCACCCACACCTCAACTTGTGAAGTAACTGCTCTTCCACAACAGCGACCCACATGCAGCTCGAGGAACCCGTTTCCCTACACACTGCTGCTCGATCAGGCCCCACAGCCTGACGAGTTCGTGGCAGACACCAAACCAACACACAACAGTCAGGAGGAGGGTGCTGGTCTTGGATTTTGTCTTTTGAGGACTCAGGTCAGTTCCCTGACTAGAGTCTGGGGTGCTCTGAAACCGGGAGGCCACCTGAAATCTTGTCTCTGCTGCTGGTCTGCAGAGGGGAGGGATCCTGCAGGAAGAGGCGATGGCTTTGACAGCAACTCAGGAGATGAAGCTCAGACATTTGGCTGTTTACCTGTTTCAGAGCTGGGACCACTGCAAGTCTACAGGTATTTTCAGTGTGTCTACAAAACAACAAAGCTAACCTTCCTCCCACTCGCTTCATTCTACTTTGCTAGTGTTTTCTCCGGCAGTGCTGCTGCAGCCAGACTCCAAGTGCAGCCAGAGCAGCCGCTGCTCCCTGCTCCCAGGCCCCTGCCTGCAGGCCGCTGCACCTGCCCTTGCCCTTACCTACACACTTGCGGTTTTTGAAGGGGCTCCCAGGTCTAGTGGCCTTTTCGGCCTCAATCCCATTTCCCATTCCAGCTGTTTAATTCTCAGCCCCCTAAGCAAGCACCTGTGCCTGTTGCTGCCCTTCCAGCCATCCTGCCCTCTGCCACTGCCCTTCCTGAGTCCCCTGGGTAGGAGAGGCCCCAGCTGTCCCTGTCCCTCCCAGCAGGCTGCAGGTGTGGCGGTACAGAAGCTTCTTGTCCCGTCCTAAGAATCCTGGAGATTTCTGTGTGCCCATAAGCAACTCTGCCCACGTACCATATCTCTGCCATAGACTGGGGGGCACCTTGATCTCCCAGAAGTGCTGCCCATCTGCCAGCTCTTTGTTCCCCTGGGTGGCATCGGTGCCACAGCTGTACTCCTTGGGGAAGGTCAGGTTGTCGCAGGGCAGCAGGGTGGCTGTTGGCTTATTCAGGTAGTCCCACACCCAGTCGAACTCTGTTCAGGAAGCACAGAGGGGATAAAGATGGGCAAAGGCCCTCAGAGTATGATCCCCAAGCCAAAGCACAAGCAGACATTTGTTTTGAAAATGACCTGTGGGGGATTTCTTTAATTTTTTTTGCTGTTTAGGATGGTAAATCCTAAACTCCACGGGACAAGGCCCTGAGTGCTCTGATCTAACTTTGAAGCTAGCCATTCCCGGAGCAGGGGTAGGACTAGTGACCTTCCAAGGTCCCAAAGGACAAGGAATCCTTGGAGTACAACTCAATTCCTGCTCACCTGGCCTGCATCCAGCCTTTTGGCTGTCCCACTCTTTTGGCCTCGGCACAGACCCTTCTCAGCACTTCTTCTGAGATGGGCTTTGCCTCACGAGAACAGCCTACAGCTCACAGGGAACCTGCTGAGAAGGGCTACAGATGCACAATGAGTAAACGAGGAGCTTACATGGCAAACTGGCCAAATGAGGATGGCTTGGAATTCCTCTGGTACTTGGCCAACTGCTCTGGCATGGCCCTTCCAATGGCTTCCTTCAGCTTCTGCAGAGGTTCCTTCAATCGGCCACCCTGGAGCAAACTCAGAACAGACTCAGGTTCCACACGGCCTGTTCCAGCCGACACACCCCAGTCTGGCAGGTCAGACCTTGCCAGTGCCGAAGCCGCACCAGACATGCTGCCTGAACTGGGCTGGGCGGAGGACACCACCACGTCACAGAGACAACAACTGTGCTCTGCAGCTCAGGGGCTACGGGCACACGAGACAGGGCTCTGCTGCCAACTCACTCACCTGCTCATAGAGATAAAGCTTACGGGCACGCTTGACCAGAGTGTCCTTACTGCATGGGAAGAAAGCAGCCAGGTGGGCATACACCCCTGAGCGGTTCAGCTCCCGGGTCTGCAGCTCTATGCTGAAGAACAAGACAAACACGGCGTTGACCAGGGACCGGGCAGGGGTTCTCTAAGCAACATAAACATGACTCTGAGGCAACCTGGGGGGCTGGAGGCAGGGATAGAGGGACAAAGTACAAGCCAAACTACATGACAGCTCCTTAGATTGTAAAATCAACAGACTCAAGCCCTTTATCCCAAGCTATGCCTTTTAATCTAGTGTCAGGGTATCTGGGAAAGGAACAGAAGGATGTCAGTAGTCTCCTTTATTCTGCAGTTCTTCCTGGCAGCTGACGTGCAGGTGTCTGGCAGCCTCTTGGGAGGGATGGCAGCTGCTTGAAATCCTGCTCCAAGCCCATCCTGATGGGATCGCTCTGTCCTCCCCATCAGGAAAGGGGCTCCCTTCTGGGGATTCACTGAAGAGCTGCTCCAGGTCTAGGTCGGTTAACAAGTCCATAGCTGTCGCTGCCTGAAGCAGGTCGTTATTGCTGGTGTGGCTGAAGAGCGAGAGCAAAGGGTTAGGCATCCCCTCTGCCTCCCTCGGAGCTGCAGGTTCTGCCAGTAAAGGAGTCACCACTTTCTGCTCTTCATCTTTTTCCTTCTGAGCATCACTCTCCTTCTGAAACTTCATCGTCATCTTCTTGACACTAACAGGGCCAAAAGACTTCTTCTTCTTACTTGCATTTAACACCATAAAACTGTAAACAATACAAGATGAAGGGGAAGAGAGGAGGATACCTTCACCCTAGTTCACTTCAGCCATATGCACTAATCCCCTGGAAAGCCTGAGCCCCTTAACCAATTACATCAGGGAATATACGGTCTCTTAAGGTTTTAAGGTCCTGGTGCTTGTTCCGCTCAGAGAAGAGGAGGCTGAGGGGTGACCTCGTCGCAGTCAACACCCTCCTCAAAGCAGAGCAGCCAAGCGGGAGGTGCTGATCTCCTCTCTCTGGTGACACGAGGAAATGGAAGGAAGCTGCGTCAGGGGAAGCGCTGATTGGACATTAGGAAAAGGGTGGTCGGTGACTGGAACAGGCTCCCCAGGGAAGTGGTCATGGCACCAAGCCTGTCAGAGTTCAGGGAATGTCTGAACAATGCTTTTTAGTCATATGGTTTAGTTTTAGGTTGTCCTGCAAGGAGCAGGGAGTTGCCTCGATGATCGTCATGGGTCCCTTCCAATTTGGGCTATTGTACGATTATATCATCCTAAGGTCATACCTGAGGGTTAAGGATAAGACTGAAGTCCTGACACTTCACTTGGTATCAGAGGCCCTAAACGACACAAGGCATTTTCGTTCAGATATATCTCTTTTTAGTAACTTATCTACCAGCTGTTCACTTACCCAACTTTAAAGTTAAGTTTCAGTTCCTATTCTGTAATCCTCTAGGCTTTCTGAATGCATTTGGCCCAGGACTCCTACCTCAGATTTAGTAACTGTTGCCTGTAAAACAAAAGCTGGGGAATGTTGTGAAGTTGAATGTTTAATGGAACTACCCTCAAGCAGATTCTGCTGGAGCAGAGGAAACTACATCCATCGACTGGAAACAGGGACACTTGAGGATACACCACACTGCTGTTCTGCACACTCTTCTGCCTCTCAGATCCACTTCATAATGGATTTGTGTCATGGCTTCCATTTTTAAGGTCTAGAGTGTAGCTGCCCTCCACAGAGCAACTATCTCTCCATCCTTGGCCCCCTACTCTCAGGATCCCAAGGGAAAGCTCTTCACAGCTGTACAACCTGAAACTGAGGGGAAGCAGATAGGCTCCTGCAACCACTCAAACGAGGGAGAGGGCTGCCAGTGCAAGACTCATGCTGATGTACGTTCCTCACTGCCGAGCGGTGACAGAGATTAAACCATCTCCACCAAGCTATGCTATTATATAGCTACATGTGTTATTCCAGTAAGGAAGGCTGGGAAATGCACTGACAACTACTGCAGAGCAACCAAAGCAAGAGAGAGTTAGTGTGACAGCAGCCTGAAGCTTTTTTTTGACTATTAAACCTGGGAGAGCAAATTCCTTTTCCTTCTCTTCAGGCTCTCCAGACTCTGTTCCTACCATCAGAGACTAAACAGAGCTCCAAGGAACACCGACACTGCAGCTGGCTGTGCCCCTCTTTGCTCTTGCTGTGGGGCTCTGCTCCTTACCTGATCATCAGCTGCCTTTTCTCTCCCACTCTGACAGCAGTTTTATCTGCTGCTGTTGATGCAGCACACACTCAAGCCACCCCACACTGCAACAGCTACTACTTGCAGAGTAACAAATGCCACCTGCAACCCTGAAGCAAGATGTCGAGCAGCAAGCAACCCCTCCTCCTCCTTCTCCTTACCCAGCTACTGGAACCTCGAACTCTTTGCATTCCTTCTTGTAAGAATCATCTGTCGTCATCTTCTTCTTCTTCTTCTTCTTCTTCATTTTTTCACCTCCATCTTCCAATTTCCGCTTCTGAAGAGGGTTAAAAGCAAGTCACAATCAAAGCCTCTCCTGCAACGCCACCTGCAACCCCGGAGCCACTTTGGGCCCTCTCCCAAGAAGTGGAGAACAGCTCCTTCCCCACCGCACACATTCACCCAAGCCCCAGACATCTCTCACCGTGCTGCTGCCACACACAGTCTTCAACATTTCACAGCGCACCCAGCTTTTACGCCAGAGACAATCCCACCAAGATAGGGGGATGCCAAATGCTCCTGCTGCTTCCCCTTCTAGCTGCCTTTCATCGGTGTTATGAAAACAGGGCTCTCTCCACAGATGTGGCCACCAAAGAGAAGCACTCGTTTCTCCATCCCCATAATGCCAAGTGACTTTTCAGGGTGACAAGTGGCTGCTGTCACCTCTCCTCTAGGAACCAGGCAGCCCCACCAGAGCCATCCAGGGCAGACACGCTGCGTTTTACTATCAAGTACAGGGGCAGAATGGGATTTCAAGTGCTCATCCCGATTCTGTCCACATCACTTCACAGATCTCGCTCTGCTTCGAATGTCAACAGACTTTTCATGCAACAAACCCTCTGAGATCTAACAGAGGAAAGAAATGACAAAGCTGGCTGCTGACCTTCAGACACTTCTTCTTTTTCTCTTTAACATAGTCATCTTTGTACCGAAATTCCAGGAGTCCTGTGTTGATGTAAAACCCTCCATACTTTGTAGTCACAGAAGCCGGAACAAAGGCATCATACTGGAAATAACAGAGAACAATCTGTTGGCACCATAAGCTTTGTTCCATAGCTGAGCTGCTTGAAGAATGCAGCAGGATTTGTGCTCCCCCAAAAACAGCTGGGGCTGTGGACACCTGCTAACCAGCCACCTCCTGCCGCTTGGTTCCCCAGGACCTCTCGAGCACCAGCCCTGGCACACTCCTGGCCTGCACCCAGTGCAGGGGCTCCCCCAGCCCCAGCTCAGCCCTCGCAGGCAGCTGCCTTTACCCACCCACACTGACCCTCACCCTCACCCACCCCGTACTCACTGCTTCAGAGTTATCGATGAAGGAGTCAGATTCATCGTAGCCGTACCCCATGTCGATCAAGTCCTGAATATGGTCCTTTCCACGTCTCTTGCCACCCTAAGCAGTAAAAGATTGACAGGGTGTTCATCTTTCTTTTCCAGTTACCACAGGGACAGCCCTGACACAGGACACTGACATTGGCTTCAGTACAGAAAAGGGAATGAGATCATTTTTGCCCCAAGCAGCAGCAGAACCAAACCAGCGTTAAGGGGCTGAGAGTGAACAACATCGGTTATTCTAAGGCATAACATAATATTAAGAAGAAAAACATACATATTTTTCTTCAAACTTCAGATCAAGTGCCTCCACTTCACACGCTTCCTTTGAGTCATCATTAAAGGGATCAGCAGGGTCTTGCATCTGTACAAATAAGAGAGACAAAACCATCAGAATCAATCCTGTCACAGAGCCACCAAACCCCCATGCATTAAAACCCTTACAACTAGAGCATTCAGGTAGAAGCTCAGACAAATCCACCTGTAGTACAGTACTCAGAGTGTCTCTAGGCTTTGGGTGCCTTCTCAGCTACTTCTGTACCTGTCTCTGCTTCTCTCAACTCTCAAACACCAGAAAAAAAACCCAAGCAGCATGAACCATCAACTAAGCTAAGCGGTTTGGAAAAGCAACAATACAAACAAGTAGATTCAAATCAACTTTCTTTTCACAGAAGAACACCCATAAACACAACATTTAGATGCTACAGAAGTTTGCATGACCTCATATCCTGAGAAGTCGATTTCAACAAGTCAACACAATTGTCAGGGCAATACCTAAAAGCACCACGTCCACCACACAGAAGGAGATGCCAAGCACTAAGGTGGAAGTAGAACAGGGTCCCAAGAAAAGATACAGCCACAGACTGGAGAAACATCTCTTGCTTTGACGCTCTTTGGAAGAGAGCTCCTCATAGCTGCGAGCAAGCCAGGTACCAAAACTCACTCTACATCAAGCAGTTCCAAACTAAACAAGCATTATGCCCCACACTCTGCTACCAACACATCACCCCTCCAAC